GGGGGGGGAGAAAAAACATATCAGGGAATGCAAACAACACTTGAGTTAAGTTGCCTTTGACGCTGACTGGATGGTATCGCCACACTTCACATATAACCTTACATGGCCATGAGCAGGCTATGATAAGCAGTAATTCTCTAAGGAGGGACAATGAGGTTATGAAAAGTCTGGTTTCCAGTAGAGATTAGAACTTGGGCAGATGAGTAATTCAAAGCTTTGGTTTAAATCCGAAGATTCTTTTCCATGTTGATTCAACACATATGATTTGGTGGCTAAGTTATAACACGTATTGTGGAATAAAAAATTGGAAGATCAGATTTGTGTGCGTGTATCTTGAGCTCGAGTCCAATAACTGAGCTCCAAGGTAACTAGTAGGATTTTGTGTGATAGCTGTCACGTATAAATCCTGAAATACAGGATTGCTGCGGTTTCGCTCTACCATATTTTCTTTAGAGTGATTACCATTAATTACCAAGGAAAGGTGCATTAATGGCTCAGGCTGTATGTTTACTCCCTGAGTTATCTTTTTCTAAACGCAGACTTGTTCACAGTGACCTGTTACCTACTTATATACAATTTCTCTAAATACCTTTGCATTCCCTTCTTGACCCTGCTACGCAGCTGCACCGAGCCCCGCTGAGGGTAAAGCTTTTCCTCAGTCAGTTCTGATTAAACCAAGTGTATTTATGTGTAGTTAAACACACTTACCGACGCAGCTTTTGGTTTCATTGTCGTAAACATAGCCGATGTCACACAAGCAGTCGTAGCCACCCTCCTTATTCTCACATCGTGCCGTTCCACACACACCCGCGATCTTGCACTCGTCCAGATCTGAAAGACACCAAAATGTCCTCAGCTTTGAGACTCCAAAAGTCACGTGTAAGGGCTCAGGAACATTTCAAAAGGAAAAGACATCGGACAATCCAGTGGGAGTAATTTGAAGAATGGAAACTTAACCTGGTTCTGATGTGCTTTGTACCATTTAATCCTCCAAAAAAACATAATTAAATACATGGATGTATTGTTTGCATATTTAATACACAGTATCTGTATGTTCCAGCACTGCAGTTACACTGAAATAAATATTTACAGAAGGAACCTTTCAGGATGTTAAATCACACAACAGTTTGAGGCCTTTCTCAGACTTCTCTTTTCTGGGGGGAAAGCTAAAACTATAAATAAAACTGTGTGAGTTTACACAGGGGTCCACATTAGGAAAACATGAGCTTGTAATGTTTTATTTTCTGCCTCGTTTGTTCACTAATCGAAGCCATGTGTTCTTTTATGGACTCACAGTGATGGTTATGACACAAGACAGAATAACACTGCTGCTGGACTGTTTCAGGGACTTGAACTTCAGAATAATTACAAATTTAACTTTAGTTTTATTTTTTTGTCAGGGATTATACACAAAAACACTGATCTCAAAAAGAAAAGAAGCCCTGAACTAGATTTAGCTACTGGCTAGTTTTAATCTGCAGTCCGTGGGTATGGAGGCTAAGCTGCAACTTCTGAGGCCAGAAACTGCGCTTTTTTTCAGTGACCACTCAGTTCCCACAGAGCATCGTGTCAAAATGCTTTCAGCCACTAAATTCCATATAAGTGGGGAGAGTTTTTTTTTTTTTGTTAATAACTCGTCCATCTGAACACTGGAGTTTGGGGCATGGCAGCTTTGATTGACAGGTATGCGTTTCTGGAGCATTTTAATGGATTATCTGACAAACACAGTACTATCATCTTATTGCTCTAGTATTTAACAATAATTAGCATTGTGTGTGTCTGTGCATTGTCCCTGTGTAGTTTATGGATGTAACATGCAACTATACAAATTATCAGTTTATTTACAAAAGTACTTTTTAAAAACACAAGTGTTGTACAAAGCACCAAAACACCACACAACAAATCAGCAACAACAACAGTAACAAACAGAAGGTTAGAACACACCACTCTCATTCTGAATTAAAAGCCAAAGAATAACATTTTAATATATGTTTTAAATGGAGTTAAGAGCTGAGATATGTCTGGTGATGCCAATCCATTAAAGGTTTTAAAAAAATAAAATAAAATCTTAAAATGAACAAACAGGGAGCCAGTGAAGGAAGGCCAGGACGGGGGAGATGTGCTCCAGTTTAAAGACGAGCTGCAGCATTTTGGACTAACTGTAGGCAAGTAAGGGAAGCTTTGCTAAGACCAATATAGTGTGCATTACAGTAGTCCAGGTTTGTTGTGATAAAATAAGACATCCAAAAATTGGGGGGGGGGGGGAAATGGATTTGAATCTGGACAAAAGTCTGAAATGAAAAACTGATAAAATGATAAAAACTAGCTTTAATAATGGAATTTATATGCTTATCTAGTATAAAATCACAGTCCAGTCTGACATCAAGGTTAGTCACTCGGACCCAGATCCAAGAGAGGAGTAGTACACACACCACTGGGTCTGAACACAATGATCTGAGTTTCTTGTGATCTTATATCTTTCAGACACTTCTGTAGTGGTTTAGGGGTTGAATTGACATTTCTTTTTATAGGCATGTAGATTTAGGTGTTGTCTGCATGGGAAAGATATGCATGCATGTCCATGTTTTTTAAAAATCAGGCCCAGGGGAAGAAGTTAAAGAAAAGAAAGGCCTGGACTGAGAATCGATCCTTGTGGGACACCAGACCTATTAACTTCTGGTTTTAAAAAACTAATGTGGAGGCAGCCAAATTGTTAACACTGAGGCTCAAAATGAGTCCAGAGACCAATGGATGACATCATCGCGGGTACGTCCATCTACAGTCTATGAGACTGATATTATATTAAATACAAAATATAAATACATGTCCAAAGCAGAAGTAGATAAAAATACAACATAATCAATTATACAAGTCTAAAAAGAATTTACATTTTCAGAGTGGGAAGTGGATTCAGAATTGGTAAATGGCGATGATGTGTTTATTTGCAGCAGTGCTGACTTGATTACAGCTATTAGAAGACGTGCATCTGTGGTCTGCGGCTTACCATTACACAGCTGACGTCCTGACAGTGTGTAGCCTTGGCGACAGGAGCAGTGGTAACTGCCCACAGTATTGTTGCACTCGTGGTCACATCCTCCATTTCTCCTGCTGCACTCATCGACATCTGCAAGCAGGAGAGAGGTGAGAAATGCAGGTTGCTTTCAGCTGGATGCAGTTTAGTGACTGTGAATTTCTTGTTTGTTGTGCATTCCAAATAAGGGACACAGTATGTAACTGTGGCTGAGTGTTTAGGAGGACTGTGGTTGTCAAGTGGAAAAGGCTCAGACCGACTCAAACTGAATCTGTTTTGGTTTCCTCTCGCAGTAAGGTGGTAGGATGAGTCACAGTGGAAATGTGTGGAATGATTGCTGCGCCATAAATCAGAGAAACTTGTTCCCCTCTCCCTCACAGTGAGAGTTTAGAACTTATGTGGATTTAACTTCTAACAAGCATGCAAACCTCAGTTTGGAGTCTGGGATAGCACTTCCCGTACATGCACTTCATAATGATCTTACACACCATTCACACATCATTAATAACTGCAGCAGGAGCTGGATATTAGATAGCATGCCATCAATAACAGCTTTTCAAGGTCAAATTAATTCCAGCATCGTTGAGAGACAAAATAGTATTAGTTTACATATGAGAAAAGCAGGATGTTTCTATCAGTGGACAGGACAGGGGTTCACTGTCAGAGCCAAGGTCACAGTAATGACATTTGCACTGATGTACCAGGATGACAGAGCAAAAATTCAACCTCTGCTGAGCTCCAGGACACAGCTTTCCATAATGATGACAGTACCTTTCTCACACGTGGCTCCCGTCCAGCCCGTAAAACAATGACAGAGGAAGTCGCCCTTTTTGTCCTCGCAGCGGACGGTACCGCTGGGATTGCAGGGATTGGGAGAACACTGATTGGGAATATCTTAAAGTGTGCGAAAACAGAGACAGAGAAAAAGACATGTTATTACTGCTTTAAGCATCAAGTCTGTACAAAGGTTGCTTATAGTCAGTGTAACTGTATACCATAACAGACAGAGGACACTCCTGATATGCAGAATCTCTCTTAGGTTCTGCACATTGGGAGATCTGTATAAATAGCCTAACTTGGGACAGGCTCTCTTTCCGGACATGCCCTAATTCCCACCACCTGTCCTCTACTTCTCAAGAAACAATACTGAATTGATATTGAGCTTTATTTTTAATTCTTGTTTTTGCTGCTTTTCTATTCAATATTTACACTTAATTCACCCCCTCTTTTTTTTCCCCCACTGCACGCTGTAGTAGTGCTCAGTTTTCTCTCCAAATCTGTTTCCTTCCCAGGCAGAGGAGTTTGAGTACTCAACAAGTCTGGACATGTTAGCTGGAGTTCAGAGAAAGTGAAAATGACAAAGACTGGAGGAGAGAGAGAGAGAGAGAGAGAGAGAGAGAGAGAGAGAGAGAGA